GCACATTCCCAGCTGAGTTCAAACAAGGTGACACTCTGCCTTCTTGTTTCAGCTCTCACACTGTAAACAAGTGAGCTTCTTGTGGTCTATTTAGTGACACGCTTTCCACATTTTTGTGCATTTCGTTGGTGATTTCACCGCTTACCGTGGCCCCCAAGCCTAGTGCTGAAATGCTGTCTATGTTCCTGAGTGCACGAAGGCTGTGACGTGCCTTGCAGAGAACAGTGCGTGTGTCGGCTCTGCTTCATCCAGGCCTGAGTTAGAGAGCTGTTGTGCAGGAGCGCAATGTTAGTGAGTCAACAATATACATATTAAATAAGGTGCCTTTTAACAGAAACGTGCAGAAAACTAGGTTATCCATAAACCAGTTGATGGAAATGTTGGGACCAGAGGCTCAAAGGAACCTACGCCTGTATTTCCCCCTAGGAGCAATGCTTCAGTTTTCATTGATCCAGTGTTTGAGGTGACTTTGTAGAATGTAACTACCATGTACAAGAATTAAACAAACAAACAAAAATTAACATATATTAATTTATTAACATATATTCCTCTTGTCGGAGACATTTGTTAGGATTTTTGGCCACCCAGCCTCTGGATCCCCTTCTATAATTCGGGAATTCCTCGCCCTATGGGTCCTGGGGAGGCAGGAAGCCACCTCCCCCACTAGAGCCAGGGCAGGGGACCAGGCAGGGAACCTGGGCTCTGCCAGTCAGGACGAGTCAGACTCAGAGCTAGTGCCACAAAGAGGAGAGGAGCTTGAGAGATGACCTGAAGGGTCTCTAGCGGTGGAGACGGTGGCTGCCGTGCCAGGGGTGTTGTCCAGGGCCAATGCCACCAGGGTTGGTGGTGCCCATCACGTCCTGCACCTGCTCTGAGGGGGTTGCCAAGAAACATTGCTGGCTGCACAGCCTGGAGCTTGGTTCCCCAGTTCCCCCAAGTCACTTCATTCTAGGGTGACGCAGTATCCTTTTAATAAAGTGTCTAAATTAGTCAGAGTTGGTTCCTATTGTTTGCAACCAAGAATCTAGTATCTGGGGGGGGGCAGGTATGTGTTGGTACGTATGCATTTAGTTGTTATAAGTTTGTTGGTTTACAAGTGAGTAAGTGAATGGGGCCAAGGAGGGTTGCTGGAGGAACCTCACAGAGGGGAGATCACTGGCTGGGTCTCGAAGGGTGGATGAGGGTTTGCCTCACCATGAGGGTCTTGGAGAAGGAATGTCCCAGGCAGGGTGGACAGCATGGGTGGAGGAACGATCAGCGAGGCACACTTGGGGCATCATGAGGCAGTCAGCGAAGCTGGGGTGTGGGAAGGTGAAGATGGGAGCGGGTCAGCTACGCGCATTGGCGGCAGCTGCTGGGGGCAGAGCGAAGGGCTGAGGTTCCCGTTCTCTCCCCGTTGTCCCCGCTCCAAGACCTCTGGTCCGCTCCCTCCTCCCTCTCATTCACACTCCGCACAACCCGCTTTCTCTGGCCCCGGATCAACCCGACCCACACAGAGTCAGGCCACATAGATTCATTCTTGAGGGTGGAGAAAACCAACTCTCTTCCCAGCAGTCCAGAGAGAAGAGGTGTTGTTAAATATGAGTTATGGATGCACCCCATGAGGACATCAGATGTGGGTTCCTCCAGGGACGCTGGGTGAGGAAGTGATGAACTCAGAGCCGGACTATCTTAGTCTGCTCAGGCTGCCGTGTCGAATACCACAGACTGGTTGCCTAAATAACAGATATTTATTCTCGCGATTCTGGAGGCTGCAAGTCTGAGATCAGGCTGTCAGCAGGGTAAGGCCTCCCTTCCTGTCTTGCAAACGGAGACCTTCTCACTGTGCACTCACATGGTTGTAGGGGAGAAAGAGAGGAAGAGAGAAGGTGGCGAGAAAGGTGGAGAAGGTGGAGAAGGGTGAGAAGGGGAAAGAGAGAGAGAGAGAGAATCTTTTCCTCTTCTTAGAAGGCCACAGACCTATTGGATTAGGGCCCCAGGCTTATGACTTCATTTAACCTTAATTGCCTTCTAAAGACTCTAGCTCCAAAGACGGTCCCATTGGGGGTTAGGGCTTCAACACAGGAATTTGGGGAGATGCAATTCAGTCCATAGTTCTGACTTTCAAGGAACTTCCTTGAGGGGGCTGGAGCCCAGAGACCGGGGTTCCCACCCCAGCCTGCTCCTCACTGGCAGCATGGCTTTGGGCAAGTCACGTGCCTTCTTTGGCATTATCTGGAAAATGAGAAGCTTTGGTTCAGCCTCAAAATTCCTTTTCTCACTAAGATTCTTTGAAAGTCCCAGGGCTCTTTGCTTGGGCTTAGGGGTAGAAAGACTCTTCCTCAGTCCGCAGAGTCCCCCCAGGAAAGGCTGGGTCAGGAAGAGCTTGGCTGTTTTCTTTCCAGCTCTTCCGTGAATGCACTTGGCACAGGGACTGTCTGTTGCCATGGCGAGGGCTTCCTGTGGCGCTGGGCCTGAGAACTCCGCAGCGTCCTGGGGTGGGGGGGTTGCTGTCAGAGGCTAGAGGTGGGGGGTGGGTCAGTGGAGAGGCCAAGAATTGACAGATTTTCTAGCAGCCTTGAATGAAGGTGAGACTTGCGGAAACGAAGGGGTTTTGCAGTTCACCAAAGCCCACCAACCCTGCTACTCTCCACGTGTGACTTTTGTTCCCTGTTACATGACCACAAGTAAGGGATCATGTCTTTCCTATGACAGTCTGTTCCCAGAAGCTGGAAGTTTATGCAAAACCAACCTGGGAGGAGGGATGAGTGGAGAACAGGGTGTGTAACCTCACTACTAAAGTCCAGTCCTAGACCAGCAGCACATGGTCACCCCGGGAGCTCGTCAGGAATGCAGTCTCAGGCCCCGCCCCAGATCCATTGACTCAGAATCTGCATTCTAGCAAGATCCCCAGGGTTTATGTGCACATTAAAGTTCCAAAAGCCCCAGTGTGGTGGAAAGAACACCAGCCTAGAAACCAGCAGACCTGGCCCTAGGGATGGCTTTGCCACTCTACTGTGTAATTTCTGTAAAGTGGAGAGGTGAAGAGAATTCTTTCTAAGATGCCATTACCTTCCACTGACAAGCTTTGCCTGGGTCAGGTCAGTGTGGCCTGGAGTTCTCCCCTGGCTTCTCGAACAATTGTCCTGACGACATCGATTGCATTGCCCTAGTCACCTGCAGAAATGTGGGGGTCTGTGAGCCACTGAGGGAGCTAAAGACCAGTGGGGGGGCTAAAGACCAGTGAGGGGGCTAAAGACCCCTGAGAAAGGGTAAGTGTTCATGGGACTTCTGGTGTGATGGAACTGGGAAGTCAACATATCCAGTCAAAACCAAACACATATCCAGCCAAAAGGCAATAGGACCTGATCATTTTTGAGGGAGGTGGTGTGGGGAGGGGCTGTCCCCTGTAGACCAGACTGAATTCACATCTAGTTTAGTAGAGGGCTTCCTAAACTTGGGCCAGCATCAGAATCACTTGGAGGGCTAGTTAACAAATAAACTAGTGGGCCCCACCCAGAGTTTCTGACTTGGTGCTATAGATTAAATTGTGCCCCGCCCCCAAGTGCATATCTTAAAGCCCTGATTCCCAGTGTAACTGTATTTGGAGATAGGGCTTTTAGGAGGTAATTAAGGTCAAATGCTGTCATAAGGGTGGGGTCCTAATGGCTTTACAAGAAGAGCAATAGACACCCCAGCATACACAGGTGTGTGCTTCCTCTCCCCCTCCCCCTTTCCCCATCTCTCCCCCTCTTCCTCTCCCTCTGCTTGCACACGTAGATGAAAGGCCATGTCAGGACACAGTGAGAAGGTGACAAGTCAATAAGAGAGCCACCTCTCACCACAACATGACCCCACTGGCACCCTGATCTCAGATTTCCAGCCTCCAGAACTGTGAGAAAATTAACTTCTGTTATTTAAAGCAGGGATCCCCAACCTATGGTGAGTTGTATAATTATTTCATTATATATTACAGTGTAATAATAATGGAAATAAAGTGCACAATATATGTATTGTGCCCGAATCATCCCAAAACCATTTCCCCCAATTCTGGTCTGTGGAAAAATTGTCTTCCATGAAAACGGTCCCTGGTGCCAAAAAGGTTGGGGACCACTGGTAAGCCAACCGAGCTATGGGATTTTGTGATGGCAGCCTGAGCTGACTTATGAGCTTGTGACACACTTTGGATCCCCTGTCTCTGTCATAAGTCACCTGACTCAAGCGGAGCAAATCTATTGGCTAGCCAATGACTAATCAGATTCAATCTCTCTCTCACTCAAAAACAAAAAAATAGAATTTAGAGAGTAAGTCATTAATGGGTACTGGAGCTGGAAAGGGTTGGAGTGACCATGTTGGTACATTTCTGAGCAAAGCAAAGTGATCAAGAGAGAAGGGAAAGAAAAAAATCAACATCTACACTGAGATGGCTTAAACTGCTGCAAAGTCATGATGTCAAGCTCAGACAGTAGGTCTAAGGTAGGGCCAAGAATGTATGTTTCTCACCCAGGTGATGCACATGCTCTTAGTCTGGGACCACACTTTGAGGACTGTTGGCTTAGTGCCTTTGGATCCCCTGTCTCTGTCAGGAAGGGTTATCATGCCCACTTTACAGATGAGGCCTGCATGAGTCTAATTGGTGACAGGAAGGGAAAGGCAAGTGTTAGCACCTGAGGTTGGGTGAGTCTTCCCCAAACCGCTGTCCTTGAGGAACTCAGAAGTAAGTAAAGGAGGACACCCAGGTAAGCAGCTCTCATTTCAGAGAAGCAGGGGTCAGGGCAAGAGCAGGGCCAGGACAGCAGTCCAGGTGTGGGAATCCCTTAGCTTCTGCTAAAAGGGCAGCCCTAGGCAGCCATGTTTGTACCATGTGACTCACCACTCCTTTCTAGCCATATCTGATTGGATGAGAGGTAGTCACCTGACCCAAGCGGAGCAAATCTATTGGCTAGCCAATGACTAATCAGATTCAATCTCTCTCTCACTCAAAAAATAATAGAATTTAGAGAGTCAGTCATCATTGGGTACTGGAGCTAGAAAGGGTTGGAGTGACCATGTTGGGCCATTTCGGAGCAAAGCAAAGTGATCAAGAGAGAAGGGAAAGAGAAAAAAATCAACATCTTTACTGAGATGGCTTAAAGTGCTGGGAAGTCATGATGTCAAGAACCAAACTCTTCCTCCACCAGTCTGGTACGCCCTTTGTTTCCATCCGCTATGAACTGGGTTTTCAGTAATTCCCAACGCAAAGAGCCCTAACTGACTTAGTTTGCCTCCTTCATTCTGAGCTCCTAGAATTGAGCCTGTGTCTTATTCTTTTTCATATCTTCACCCTGAGGAGGTACCCTGATTTCTCTGGTAGGAGGAAAAGGGTGGGAGCAGAATCCAGGCTTGGCTGACCAGAAATGGAAGCAGGATGGAAAATGGACCTACTGCGTGTCAAATCCAATGCTAGATATTTTATGGATATAACACCTGAGGTTGATATTATCATTATTACTTTCCTTATAAGGAAACTGGAGCTCAGGAGTAACTGCCCAGGGTTCTGTTACCATTAATGGCAGAGAAGCTCCCACTGGACCACAAATAACAACTGTGAACTCTGGCAAAGATTTGAAAACAACAACAACAATGACAAAAACTGCCTAAAGGTGCTGGAAAGCAACCAAAAGCAGGCAAAAAGTAGAGGGGGGTCTGCTTACAAGCAGATTAGAGATGAACGAGGAGTCAATGAACTTGAAAATACATCAATAGAAAATATCCAGTATGCAAAAGCAAAATGAACTGAAGTTCTAACATGCATAATTGGAGTCTCAGAAAGGAAGGAAAGAGAGAATGAGACAGAAAAAAAAAGTTTGAAACAATAATGACTGAAATTTTCCCATGTTTGGTGAAGACAAATATACACATCCAAGAATTTTAGTGCACATAATAAAACTACTAACTACCAAATATAAAGGGAAAATTTTGGAAATGGCCAGAGAGAAAAACAACATATTTCATACAGGGGAACAAGGGTATAAATATCACTGATCTCTCATCAGAAAAAATGGAGGCCAGAAGAGAGTAGAACAACATCTTTAAAGCTTTGAAAGAAAAACAAAATACCTGTCAACTCAGTATTGTATATCCAGTGAGAATATCTTTTAAGAATGAAAATCAAATATTCGTTCAGATAAATGAAAACTAAGAGAATTCATCACCAGTAGACTTGCACAAAACAAATGCTAAAGGAAGTTTTTCAGATGGAAGGGAAATTATATCACACAGAAACTTAGATTATAGCAAGGAACAAAGCGCACCAGAAGTGACAAATATATGGGTAAATATAAAAGACTGTTCCCCTTTAATTTTCAAAAAATGTGTATGACTGCTTAAAGCAAAAATTATAACAGTATAGTTTGGGGTTTACAGGGGTGTGTAGACATGAGATATATATATCCCTATATATAACCCTAACCCTATCCCTAACCCTATTATTATTATTTATGTAGGGTATGTATACAGGATATATACATACCCTGTTTATATCATGTAGACATTTGAAAACAACAACTTGTAGACATGATATATACAGGGTATGTAGACATAATAATTATATATCACTTAAAGGATGGGGGGGTTCGTGATTAATGGGCCTATAAAGCTACGAGGCTTTTATATTTAACAAGGATCACAGGTAACTTGCCAATGTCTTCCAGTCAGGAAGTGGTGGGACAAAGTATGACTAATGTCCAAGGCCCGTCTTCTTTCTTGTACATCAGACAAGAAAAGCGAGTGGGTAGGAGGAGAGAGCAAGACAGGGAAGAGAGAGTCTGACAGCTTCAAGTAGCCTCAGGGGCCCAGCAGTTGCCCAACGTGAGGATTCCCAGGCCCAGCAAATGACAGAGCATGGGCTTGAGGCACCAGGGAGTAGCCGAAGCAAAGAGCCACCCTCTTGTTAGGCCTTGAAGTCAGTGCCGGTGCCTGTGAACAGGTGACCTCCAGATGGGTTAGGGAGGTGCCTATGGTGCCCACGCCCTGGCCAGGGAGTGGCTAATCCTCCCCGGGCACTACCTTGCCGGGTGTCCAGGGGCCTCACAAGAAGACCCGAACAGAGCAGATTAGAATTCTCCTGGGAGGGCGCTGGGTGGGGCAGGAGGGTTCCTCCCGCACCCCAGTGCCTGTCTGGCAGCCCCGGGGGGAGCCCGTTTGGTTCATGCCACATACCCGGAGCCTCAAACCTGGACTCTGGGCCCAGCTCTGTGTGCAGCACTACAGCCCAGGGTAGAGACCAGAGAAGGGGACAAAGGATGGATTTGGGTCTCGATTCGGGATAAGCTGATCCTCCGCCTGCAGGAGTGGGACAGATGGGAGAGGTGCCGACTGTGTCCCGAGTCCCCCTCAGCTCCGAATGCCCCTTCTGCACCTGGCTCTGTGCGGCCCGGCTGCAGCTCCCAGACGCCTTTGCGGCTTTGCCGGCGCCGTTCCATTTCGGTGCTGTCCATCGGAGGCCCTGGAGGGAGCTGGGAAGGCAGGAGAGGGCGAAGCTGCTTCCTTCCTCCCTGTTGTTGGCCGTTCCTGTCAGGGCAGCCCAGCAGTGGCAGCTGGTCCCAGTCTCCAGGGTCCCTCAGCACCCCAGCACCCTGCCTGCTCAGAAGCTCCCACAGAGCCGGGTGGCACCCCTCCACGGTGTCTGAGCTCTAGATTCTTGGAACCCCATCTTCCTCCCTTTCGTTTCCCCCAACCCCAGAGGTCACAGCTGCTTTTTGTCGTTATTATCCCTCAGTTTTCCTCAGTACCCCCTTTTTTCTTTTTCTGCTCTGTGTGCCCAAATCCTTATATTAAATTTCCCCTGTTGAAATCCTGGCAGGATTTCTGTTTTCCTGACTGGCTCCTGCTGAGGCAGAAAGAAACGGAGCCGCTTTCTCCAGGGAGCCGGCCGTGGTTTACGAGAGACAGAGTAGCACAGAGGGCGGGGTGGGGGCTTTGGGTCAGCTGAGGTGGTCCTAAGTCCAAATCCCTGCCCTGCCGTTATTCCCTGAGTAACTCTGGGCAAGCGACTCGATTTCTCTGAGCCTCAGTTTCCCCACGTGAAAATTGAGTGGATAACACAAGCCTGATCAGTCAGTCTCTTTGGACACAAGAGAAAAAAACAATTTGCACTAGGTTAGGCAAAAGGGTAAAATTAGCCTGGAAAGTTTCCAGAAAACTAACTGTCAAGTGCACAGGGTGAGAGGCAGGGGTAGAGCTCGCCTCACATGCAACTGGAAGCAGCAACTCACACGCGTTTGCAGGACTTCTCTCTGCGTCTCAGAAATGCTCCCCAGTTGGAGGACCTGATTCTCACCGCAAACCGTCTTCGCCATGTGTTGAAGGAAAATGGCCTCTAGTAGCTTCCAGACTCTCTTGCCCTCCTGACTTTGTCCAGGGAAGCAAGGTCCCCTCCTGGCAAGACCCAGCTCAGTGGTTTCAGGGGAGGGCTCCAATTGGCCAGGGCGGGTCACGTGCCCAGCCCTGCACCCATCCCTGTGGCCCGGGAGTAGGGTCACCGAAGAGATGACAGCTGTCAGTCAACTGCAACACATCTGGGTCTTACAAAAACTCAGGCATTTCTGGGACGACCATCCCCATTTCACAGATGAGCAAACTGAGTCCCAGAAGAGGAAGGGCTTGACCACAGTCATGTGGCTTTTACCTAAGCAACGATACTGGACACTATGTCATTAATAACCTGATTATCGGAAGTTCTGTAGGCTTAGAGGAAAGCAGCCGGGTGTGGGTGAGTGCGGCTTAGAAGGTGAGGAAGGAAGAAGCCCATGTCTGCTTCACACCTACCCTGTGCCGGCCACTGGGCAGCGGGAGACAGACAAGCGTGGCAGAGCCAAGCCTCCCCTGTTGGCCCTGTTTTGAAAAAGAGAAGACAAGGACGGTTCAGAGAGGCTCCACAGCCAACCCCAGGGTTCGCAGCCTACAGGCAGGGCAGGAGTTCAAACCCGAGGCCGGCAGATTCCGTGTATTACCCACCACGGCGGCATCTGGATGCCCAACCCCCCGGGGAAATGTCTCGCCACTGCGTGGGCTCAGGACTGGATGACATTCCCTGGCTCCATTTCCTCTGGTCTCAGATGCCAGCAGAGTGTAAGGTCCCTCTGGGAGTCACGGCACTCGAAAAAATGTAGGGAAAGGCTGCAGAGAAACTAAAAATGGTGATCAAAGGGCAACAAGGGTTTCTGAAGAAAGGTCAAGACAGATGGGGCGGTTGAGTTGCTGGTGACCTCTCCCCAGCACTTCTCCAGCCCTCCCTCTGCCTGACCCTTCAGCCACACTAAATTACTTATAGTTTCCTGAATATGTCACTATTTTCTGCCTCCTTTACTTTTCTGTAAAAAAACTGCTGCTTTTACCTAAAATACCTTTCCTATCCCCATCCAAATCCTGTCTCCCTGGAAAACTCCTACACATCCCTCAAAACCCATCTCAGAGGCCGGGCGCTGTGGCTCACGCCTGTAATCCTAGCTCTTGGGAGGCCGAGGCGGGCGGATTGCTCAAGGTCAGGAGTTCGAAACCAGCCTGAGCAAGAGCGAGACCCTGTCTCTACTAAAAAATAGAAAGAAATTAATTGGCCAACTAAAACTATATAGAAAAATTAGCAGGGCATGGTGGCACATGCCTGTAGTCCCAGCTACCTGGGAGGCTGAGGCAGTAGGATCACTCGAGCCCAGGAGTTTGAGGTTGCTGTGAGCTAGGCTGACGCCACGGCACTCACTCTAGCCTGGGCAACAAAGCGAGACTCTGTCTCAAAACTTAAAAAAAAAAAAAAAAAAAAACCCATCTCAGTCATCTCCTCTGTGAGTCCTCCTGTTTCTTAGCGGTGGAGCCTCCCTGCTCCATACACTAGGGTCGATTGCTCCCTTTTCTTCGTACAGCAACATACGTAAGACTTCCTCCAAAGGAAGCGCTTCTCAGCGCTCAGAGCAGGACCTGCTGCATCAGAATCACCCCAGGAGTGATTTCAAAACATTCAAGCCCAGGCCGCGCCCTGTGAGAATCTGATTCTGGGAGTCTGGAACGGGGCCAGGTGTCAGAAATGTAAGTGGCTGCCCCAAGGGCTGGTGGTGCTCAGCAGGTGCGGAGATGGCTGGGGTTGGCCTCTTGAAAGCGTCCTCCTGTGTACCGGGTCCCGGCTCAGAGGGGTGATCGGTGAGGGAGGGAGTAAGGAAAAGAGGAAGGAAGAAAGGAAAAATGGAGAGTGGAGAAAGGGCAGGAGGATGAAAATGGCCATGAACCAGAGACGGGCAGGAAGGGGCAGCCTGTGGCATGGGGGTCTCAGGGGCAATGCTGCCGGACCATCCTCCTGCACCCCCTGTTGGCACAGACACCAGTTCTGGAGTTAGACATGCCAGGGTTTGAGTTCTGGTTCTGCCACTCACGAGCTGTGTGTGCTTTGGCAATTCGCTCAACCTCTCTGTTTTCTCTGTCTGATGGCAGTAACAGCTGTGCCTGCCTCACCAGGATGTTCTGAGCATCGAGCAAGCTCTCAGGATCAGCACCTTGCAAGCGCGTGTGTGCGCATGAACCAGCTGGAGAGCTTGCGAAAATGTAAGTTCTATCTCATCCAGATCAAGGCTGGAGCCTGAGATTCCCAAGTGCCATCCGGCAGCCTTCCAGGTGGCGTGTGCACTGCTGGTGTTTGAGGGGTGAGGACTGAGATCCAAAGCCAGACATCTTCCCTTTTGGGGGACCACCTGATCCTCCGCAACAGGACGGGGAGGAGGCCAGGCCTGCCCCTCACGAGTACTTTGTGCATGTGCCAGACACTGTGCTCGGCCGTCACACCCCCCCACTGAGGCCCCTGTTTGCTCAGAACTTGAGCAAGAACATAATCACAAGGGTCCTTTCTAAGCAATGATGCAATGATGACCTTGCATTACTTAAACTGCACTGTCTGGATTTCTTATTGCTACTGTAGCAAGTTATCGCAAACTGAGTGGCTTAAAACAACACAAATTTATTCTCTTACAGTTCTGGAGGTCAGAAGTACGAAACGAGTCCTAGGGGACTCAAATCAAGGTGCTGAAGTCCTGGTTCCTTCCGCAGGCTCTGGGGGAGAATCCGTTCCCTGACTCTTCGAGCTCCTAGAGGCTGCTGGCATTCCTTGGCTTGTGGCGGCATCACTGTCATCTCTGCTTCTGTTGTCACATCATTGTCTTCTCTTCTCTCTGACCTCTGACCCTGCTCCCTTTTAGAAAGGACCCCTGTGATTCCATCAAGCCCACCTGGATAATCCAGGTTCACCTCCCCATGTCAAGAGGTTTCACTTTATCACACCTGCAAAGTCCCTTGTACCTCATCAGGTAACATAGGTTACACGGTCACAGGTTCTGGGGGTTGGGAGGTGGACAGCTTTGGGGGCCGCTGTTCTGCCAGGCACAACTGTCCGGGTGTTTCCATTGGACCCTCCTGAGTGAGACCCTGCCCAAAGAGCTTAGGCTGCCGGTGATCTCCTGGGACCAAATGTACCATTATGGTCCCTTCAGAGCCAAGGCTCTGAGCTGCCAATGGTGGCCGTGGGAGCGACTCATTCCACTGACCGTTCCTTGGTGTGGATGTTCCCTGTACCAGGCATCAATCTCCCAGGGCTCAGAGGCCGAGGAGCAGGGCCAAGGTCATGCTGTCCCCCGAGCCCTGAAGCGCATGCTCGCCATAGAGCACACTGCTCCTAAGAGCCAGCACAGAGGTGACTTCTCAGGCAGCAGAATCAGGAGAAAGTTGGTGGGTGGGACAGACAGAAGTCAGAGCATTGGCCAAGGAGGAAAAGTGGATTGTCATTGACATGGAAAAGGAAGCCAAAAAAAAAAAAAAAACCAGTCCTATTTTTCCCTAAAAATCATTCCCTTAACCCTGTGGACCTTGACACACTGGGACAAGCTGGGCTGACTGGTCCAACGGTCACATGTTCTGAGCCTATGAGTGGCTCTTGGGGTCCAGCAGGGCGACAGGCACCACGTCCAGGTCCAGGTCGTGGCTGGCTCACAGGGCGACGGAGCCACCCTTGTCTTGCCCACCGTCTCCATCCACGCAAAGATGCTTCTCGGGCTTGCGGGCAGGGTGGCCAGCCATCCTGATTTTCCTGGGACTAAGGGCTTTCCTGGGAAAACCGGGACAAGGTGGTCACCCTACCTGGAGGGCAGCCACACAGACCCCAGCCTCGGGCTTGGCTGTTGTCCACTCTCCAGCCCGGGCGACTTGCAGGCACCCTAACACCTCCAGCGGGCTGGGCTCCCAGCTGTCACAAAGCACTCTCCATAGGAAGCAGCAGCCGTGGTGACACAGGAGCTCGGGGACTGCTGGAGAGGACAGCCCTCTCCCCTGGGGCTGCTGAGTCACACCGGGTCAAGTCGGGTGATTCAGGGGCTCTACTTCTTTCCTCACGTAGGGGTGCAGAGGGGGGTACTCAGACTGGAAGGAAGGAAGGGAAGAACTAAATCTCAAAAGTTAAGAGTCCACGGCGAAACCTGAACGCCCATTTTGAAGCCTGCAGTGGGGGCCGGCCTTTCCAAGGTCAAGGCTACGCAGGTTGGGGGCCCAGGACCTGCAGCTGGGAAGAGGCGTGGTATGGTGGGAAGGGTTTGCTGGGGCCAGGTAGACCCTGGATTACCCGCTTCCCAGCAGGGACCCTGAGCAAGCCCCCTAGCGTCTCTGAGCTTCATTTTCTCATGGTAAAAAGAAGCCATGGATACCTCTGTGCAGAGTTAAGATGAATAATAAACAACCAGCATGTGAACTTGCCTAATGCCCAGTAGGTCGCTCCTGTCCTCAGCCCCAGATCAAGGTCAATAGGAAAATAAATGAGCAAGCAGAGGCTGCCTGGTGAGTCTTGAATTAGAACAAAGGGAGCTGGATAAACCCAGAGCTGTTTCACCTCAAGCCCTGGGCCAGGGCCCTGGCCTCCCTCGGACAAGTTCTCTCTGCTGCTCCTTCCTTAGTATTACTCAGCCGTCCCCTGGCTCTCCCATCCTTCCAGCAGTACCTCATGTTGCCTGTGTTACACATGATTAAATTCTAGGTCTTCTACAGGACACATAGGCTTCCTGCTGGACTCTTTGATTTTTTTTATCATCAGTGATTGCATTTGGCCGTCTAGTAACCCTTTAGGGGTAAGTGTTACTCTCCCCATTTTACAGATGTGGAAACTGAGGTTTGGAGAGGTTGAGCAAGTTGCTTAGGGTCACACCAATTCAGGCCCACAGCTCCAGGCTCTAAGTTCAATGCTTTCTCCACGGAAGCAGACACGGCCAGGTGCACCCTGCAGGGGGCGCAAGGGGGCAGCCCCCCCACCCCCCCAGCTGACCTGCCACATTCAGTTCCCACTGCCGTGGGCAGGGGGCAGCAGGCAGGGGCTGACGCTGTCAGGTGCTCAAGTGCTGGGCTGGCACAACCACAAGCCTGGGTTTCAACTCCCGTGGGAAAATGGAGCCCTATTCCCCCCTGCCTTATGGTGGGGAGAGAGGTGCCCAAGTCCCATCTTCCGGAGTGATATGGTGGGCTGGAACGGGAGTCCCACTCCAGAACAGAGACTGAAAACTCTCTAAGATGTCTGGTTTTCCATCACGACAAGCTAAGTTTTTAGACCATCATTTAAAGCATGACAGGAAAGAACTTATAGATCTCAACAGCAAAAGAACCAGGAATGCAGGTAGAGAAGATAGCATCGACCCTGGCTTGGGGTCTCTGCTGAGCTGTGGGGACCCTGACCTTCTGCTCTAACAACTGTATGGGCACAGGGAACAGGAGGAGATAAAACCTAGGGCTCCTCAGGGTGAGGAATCTGATAGGACACCCCACATACAGCTGGGCCCCCACCGAGAAGGGTGGATGCAAAAGAAAGTTCTGCAACTGATGCCTTCATAGAAATTGTGGGAGGAAATCTCCCCGGAGATTCATAACCATGTGGGGGCCTGTGCACAGGTTTGCTATCTGATTTTATGCATCTATGAGATTAAAACAAAAGAAAAAAAAACTTACAGTAGAGCTTCAAGTTTTCAGTAATCCCAGTTAATCCCAAATATAGCAATTAAAAGGGAATCCCATGGGACTGCAAATTGGTACAACCTCTATGGAAAACAGCGTGGAGATTCCTCAAAGAACTAAAACTAAAACTACCATTTGATCCAGCAATCCCACTACTGGGTCTCTACCTAAAGGAAAAGAAGTCATTTTATCAAAAAGACACCTGCACTCAAATGTTTACTGCAGCACAAATTCACAGTTGCAAAGATGTGGAATCAACCCAAGTGCCCATCAATTCACAAGTGGCTTAACAAAATGTGATAGATGTATACTATGGAATATTAATCAGCCACGAAGAAGGATGAATTACGGCCTTTTGCAATAATTTGTATGGAACTGGAGACCGTTATCCTAAGTGAAATACCTAAAGGATGGAAAAGCAAACACCACATGCACTCACTATTAAATTGGAACAAACTCATGAGCACACATGTGCACAGAGGGAAATAAAAATGGAAATCAAGCAGGGGAGAGTGGGGAGGGGGGAATGAGTGAAAACCTACCTAATGGGTACAATCAACACTATCTGGGTGATGGGCACACTCACAACCCCGACTCAAGCATAACAAAAATGAGCCATGTTGTAACCAGAAACATTTGTACCCTTGTAATATTTTGAAATAAGAAAAAAGAAAAGGAATCCCCACCTAGACACATTTAGGGAAACTTCCAAAAACCAAAGATAAAAGATCTTATAAACAGCTGAAGAGAAGAAGGCATATCACCCAAGAGATGGTTTCTCAGCAGCTGTCAGAGTGATAGAAGACAATGGAATAGTATCTTCCATGTGCCTAGGCAAAGTAATTGCCAGTCTAGAGTGTTATATCCAGCAAAACTAGCATTCCCAAGTGAGAGCAAAATAAAGTATTCCTAGACAAAATTACTACCAGCAGTGGTGGTAGGAACAGACTAGAACACCAAAGTGGCAGGGGCCAGGGAGCCCAGCTTCCTCCAGTTTCGGGCCTCTGGGTAACAGTCTTGCACCCCTGTCTTGCCCCTCCAGGCCCTTCAACAATTTATAACCAAATTTCCCATATTAAATCTTATGCTTGACATACCTAGAATAATTTCTGTTTTACTGACTAAACTCTTAACTGTTACACAGGTTGGAAACACACACACACACACACACACACACACACAAAATCTGTATGTAGAATTAAAATATGTGGTAATAATAGCATCTATGCTGGGATAGAGTTAATGGAGTCAAATTGATTTAAGATTCTTGCCTGGGAGGAAGGCAAAGGTTTTGATTAACATTTTGACTTTGATAGATTAAGAATGCATGTTGTACCTCTGGGACAATCACTAAAATAATAGAAAAAGAAATTTTTAAGAAGTAGAATTAATTTTTTTATAGATACAGTGACTCCACAAAAAAGGCAAGAAATGAGACAAACAGCAATATGACAGGCAAGACAAACAGAAAGCAAAAATCAGGTGGTAAATTTAAACCCAAAGATACATATTTTATTGATTATGTAATTACTCTCGTTAAAAGATAGAAATCAATACGAATTAAAAATAAAAATCCATGCAGCTGTGCAGTAGAACATATAAATATACTTATACTACATTTTTTTTTGGACGAGCTCTCACTGTGTCTGCCCGGCTAGATGGCTCGTGGCGTCAGCCTAGCTCACCAGCAACCTCAAATCCTGGGCTCAAGTGATCCTATGTGCCTCAGCCTCCCCGAGTAGCTGGGACTACAGGCATGCACCACCATGCCCGGCTATTTTTTCTATATATACGTTGTTGCCAATTAATTTCTTTCGATTTATAGTAGAGACGGGGTCTCGTCTTGCTCAGGCTGTTTCGAATCCTGACCTCCGAGCATCCGCCCGCCTCAGCCTCCAGAAGTGCTAGGATTACAGGCGTGAGCCACTGCGCCCGGCTTTATTTTTAAAAATTAAATTAAAAAAATAAATAAATAAAAATAAAAATCCAACAGTGTGCTTTTTTATAAAAAAAACACATAAGGATAAATAGTGAATGCAGAAGACTAGAAAAAGGTAAGCTATGCAAACCCTAACCAAAAGAAATCTGATGGATATTACATTAATTATTGTAACTATCAATTTTATTAACATCAGATAAAGTAGGTATTGCATCAAAAGACCTTAAAAAAGCAAAGAGGGTCATTTCATAATTGTAAAAGGTTCAATTCAACTAGAAAACATAATAATTATAAATTGTATGCCAAAAGAAAAGAAAGATAAAAGAATTAGAAAGGAAAGAGAAAACTGTCATTATTTGCAGATGATATAATTTTTTTTTTTTATACAGATTCTCGCTTTGTTGCCCAGGCTAGAGTGAGTGCCGTGGCATCAGCCTAGCTCACAGCAACCTCAAACTCCTGGGTTCAAGCAATCCTCCTGCCTCAGCCTCCCAGGTAGCTGGGACTACAGGCATGTGCCACCATGCCCTGCTAATTTTTCTATATAGTTTTAGTTGGCCAATTAATTTCTTTCTATTTTTTAGTAGAGACAGGGTCTCGCTCTTGCTCAGGCTGGTTTCGAACTCCTGACCTTGAGCAATCTACCTGCCTCGGCCTCCCAGAGTGCTAGGATTACAGGCGTGAGCCACTGCACCCGGCCAGATTATATAAATTTTGTTCACAGGAAACCCAAAATGATCTATAAATGAATTATTAGAATTAATAAGAAAGCTTGACAATAGTGCTAGATACAAAATCAATACATGTAAAATCATTCACATTTCTATATACCAGCAACCAAAAATATGGGAAATGTTTTTTAAAACATACCATTTATAGGAGCATCAAAGAAATATTAACCACTGGGAATAAAACTAACAAAAGGTATGCAGTCTGTGGTATAATTATAAATCTACATTGAGAGACGTTTATAAAGACTTCAAAAAAGCCTAAACAGGCCAGGCGTGGTGGCTCATGCCTGTAATCCTAGCACTCTGGGAGGCTGAGGCGGGCAGATTGTTCAAGGTCAGGAGTTCGAAACCAGCCTGAGCAATAGCGAAACCCTATCTCTACTAAAAAATAGAAAGAAATTAATTGGCCAACTAAAAATATATAGAAAAATTAGCAGGGCATGGTGGCACATGCCTATAGTCCCAGCTACTCGGGAGGCTGAGGCAGGAGGATCGCTTGAGCCCAGGAGATTGAGGTTGCTGTGAGCTAGGCTGATGCCACGGCACTCTAGCCCGGGGAAAAAGTGAGACTCTGTCTCAAAAAAGAAAAAAAAAATGCCTAAACATACCAGGTTAGTTTGATCCACACCTTTCACCATATACATAAGTTAACTCAAAGTGTATCATAAACCTAAATGTAAATCCTAAAACTACACACACACACACACACACACACACACACACACACACACACACACAAGAAACATAGCAGAAAACCTTTGTGACCTTGGATGAGACAAAGATTTCTTAAATATGACAATAAAAGCATGATCCATAAAAGAACAAATTGATAAATTGGACTTTATCAAAATTAAAAGTTTTGCTCTTCAAAAGATACTGTTAAGAGAATGAAAAGACAAACCACAGAATGGAGAAAAGAATCTTTGCAAAACAAATATCTAATAAAGGAGTTGTAGCTAGAATATAAAGAATTATCCAAACTCAATAATAAACAGAAAACAATTAAAAATGAGCAGAAGATTTGAACAGATGAAAAATAAGCACATGAAAAAAAAGTTCAACATCATTATGAAGGGGAGGGGGGTGGAGAGGGATTACAAAGAGAAACAAGAAATGTTTGGGGCCCATGGATATTTTTATTACCTTGATTGTAGCGTTGGTTTCATGGGTGTATACATCTGTCAAAACTTATCCAATTGTTTACTTCAAATATGTGCAGTTTGTTGTAAGTCAATCAAACCTCAATAAAGCTATTTTTAAAAAGACTTCAATAAAAGCAGAAATATACCATGTTTGTGGGCTGCTAAACTCAATAGTCTCGCCAATTTGATTTGTAGATTCAATGCAATCCCAATAAAAATCCCCAATGCAATCCCAATAAAAATCACACTGCTTTTTTGTGTGTGTGTTTATGGAATTCGAT